CCCCAAAACCCCAAAACCCCAAAACCCCAAAACCCCTCAAAGAGTAAACGCAGGGAAACTAATAAATAATTAAACTTAAATATGCCAATTGATATTAACCTATTTAGGAAAGAGAAGGGTGGAGACCCTGAAATAGTCAGGAAATCCGAACTCCAGAGATGCAGAGATGGAGCTATAGTTGATGAAATAATTGGCCTTGATGAGAACTGGAGAAAGTTGACCCACGAAGTTAATTTACTTAAAAAGGAGAAAAACGCCATATCAAAAACCTTCGGGAAGTTAAAGAAAGAAGGTAATGACGAAGGACTTGAGGAAGCCAAGAAGAGCGCCATTGAAAAGACTGCTGAGATTGAAGCTAAGGAACAAGAGAAGAAAGAAGCTGAGGCTCTCCTTAATAAGAGACTTAATGAAGTCGGAAATATCTTAGATGAAACAGTCCCTCAAGAAGCTGATGAGGAAAAGAATCCTGTAGAGAGAACTTGGGGAGAAATTAGAGAGATTGAGATCAATGAGACTCCAGGAAGGATGAACCATCATCATCTCATGAAATGTCTTGATATGTATGATCCAGAAAGAGGATCAAAGGTTATGGGATCTCGTGGATATTTCTTAAAGGGATTCGGAGTGCTACTCAATCAAGCTTTGATTAATTATGCTATCACATTTTTGATGGAAAGAAAGTATAATGTTCTCCAGCCACCATATTTCATCAAGCAAGAAGTCATGGAGAAGACTTGCGAGATTGGTGACTTCGAAGAAAACCTCTACCAAATCGAAAACAACGAAGCCTACTTGATTGCCACTTCAGAACAACCAATCTCAGCCATGCACTCAGGCGAATGGCTCCAGCCAAGCGAATTGCCTCTGAGGTACTGCGGATACTCATCATGCTTCAGAAAAGAAGCCGGCTCATCTGGAAGAGATGTCTGGGGAATCTTCAGAGTCCACCAGTTTGACAAGATCGAGCAGTTTGTTGTGTGCAAGCCCGAAGAGTCCAACGCGTTCTTGGAAGAAATGATCACCTGCGCCGAAGAGTTCTGGCAGTCACTAGAAATTCCTTACAGAGTTGTCACCATCGTCGGTGGAGCTCTGAACAATGCTGCTGCGAAGAAGTATGACCTCGAAGGGTGGTTCCCAGGATATGGAGAATACAGAGAACTTGTATCGTGCTCAAACTGCACAGACTACCAGTCAAGAGCTCTTGATGTCAAGTTCGGAACTAAGAAGAAAGGAGACAAAGGTGACAAGAACCTGACCCACATGCTCAATGCCACTCTCTGCGCCACCGGAAGAGCCATGTGTGCCATCGTCGAGAACTACCAGACCGAAGATGGAATCAGGATTCCCACAGTGTTGCAGCCATTCTTGGGAGGTAGAGATTTCATCCCATATGACGAGAAAGCTCTCAAGAAGTTCATGGATGAAGTCGAGAAAGAAAGAGCCAAGAAAAACAAAGGCACTCACAGCAAGAAAGGAGAAGGCAAGAAGCCAAAGGCCAAAGAAGAGCACAAACAAGAAGTCACAAAGGAAGAAGAGGCAGCAAAGAAGCAAGAGGTGGATCCAGCAAAGGTTCCTGAAGAGGCTAAGCAAGCAGAAGGAGCAGCAGCTGGAGCCCCTAAGGCAGCAGATGCACCTGAAGGAGACAGTTAATACTAAATTCAATACATCCACTACTTTTCGGGGTTTTGGGGTTTTGGGGTTTTGGGGTTTTGGGG